GTGGTGAGCCCACTTATTTAAAAAAAAAAAAAAAAAGTGTATGTTCCAGGATGTTTATTGCAACTTTGTAAATGAAAAATAGGAATCAGATCCATTCAACAAATACCTACTGTGTGCCTACTATGTGTAAAGTATACCATGTGTTAACTGGGCAGGTAACTTCCCTGTCTTAGTTTTCTCTATGCAAAATGGAAGATTAAAAAAGGGCTGGGCAGTGTGTGTGTGTGTGTGTGCGCGTGTTGGTGTGAGCACGTGCAAGGTCTGCACACCTGCATGTGTATATGAATGAATAAAGTCATTCAATCCTTTTTTTTCCCCCAAGATTTTTTTTTCCCCCCAAGATTTTATTTTTTAAGTAATCTCTACACCAGAGACGCCTGGGTAGCTCAGTCGGGTAAGTGTCTGCCTTTGGCTTAGGTCAGGATCCCAGGGTCTTGGGATGGAGTCCCGCATCTGGCTCTTTGCTCAGGAGGGAGCCTGCTACTACCTCCTTGCTCTGGAGGGAGCCTGCTACTACCTCTGCTTGTCGCTCCCCCTGCTTGTTCCCTCGCATTCTCTCTCTCTCTCTCTGACAAATAAATAAATAAAATCTTGAAAAAAAGTAATCTCTACACCAAATGTGGGTCTTGAACCTACAACCTAGAGATCAAGAGTCACATGTTTCACCAATTAAGCCAGCCAAGCACCCCAAGTCATTCAATCCTTATGACTTCATGAAGTAAATATTTCACAGGTGAGAAAAAGGTGTAATTAGATAGCTTGCCTAATGCTCCAGAGTTAGTAAGAGGTGAAGGAGAATTTGAAGACAAATCCTCCCAGGAAAGTGATCTTAAAGACCTAGAAGCTCAGGTTCTATTTTGGGGGAAAAAAATTGTTTTTTCTTGTCTATTTACACAGTAACGTAAGATGAGATTAGTGGTAAAAAGTTATACCTTAATAGAATATTAGGGTGAGAAGGGGCAAAAGGAAAGTATCTTGAACTAATAACCCCCAATAATTCCTGAACACCAGTTAGAAATCTATCCACCTGAATAAATCCCTTTTCATACCTGATTTCCTTTTTTTTCCCTAGATTCTTTTATTTATTTATTTATTTATTTATTTATTTATTTGAGAGAGAGAGAGAGGAGGAGGGTCACAGGGAGAGGGAGAAGCAAACTCCCCACTGAACAGGGAGCCTGACATGGGGCTCCATCCCAAGACCCTGAGATCATGACCTGAGCGAAAGGCAGATGTTTAATGTACTGAGCCACCCAGGCACCCCCATACCTGATTTCCTTTTAACAAATGTTTGTTAAGCATCTACTGAATACCCAATTCCGTGAGTAGTAAAAACAATAATTATTAATACAATGCTGAGATTATGTTATAACAAAGTAATAGATACATTGATACATATACAGTTAATTGTTTTAAATATCAGACAGTGAGTTATCAAGGTCAGGCTTAGGAAGGTTCAAGTTGTAAATGCTCTGGAAGTTCAGAGAAAGGAAAATTCCATGTCAGTCTCCGGAGGCTTCCTGGGGGAAAATGAAGTTGGAGTCCTGTCTTAGAGGAGAGGGTATAAGGGTGAAGCAGCATAATACACTGTCCATGCCTAGGTCCAGGAAGTTAATTAAATACAAATTCAGACAAGAGTTAAGTTTAGAAGACCATACACTGAATAAGTAAAAGCACAACATCTGGAACACTGTGGAATAAATCCTGACTGCCACCTACTTGCTGTATGACTTTAGACAATTACCTAAGCTCTTTAAACCTCGATTTCAGGGTGCCTGTCTGGCTCAGCTGGAAGAGCATGTCACTCTGGATCTTGGGTCATGAGTTCAAGCCCCACATTGGGTGTAGAGATTACTAAAAATAAATAAACTTAAATAAATAAATAAACCTTTATTTCCCACCTGAAAAATGGGGATAATAAAAGGCCTAAGGCATATTGGTTTGGTTATCCAGCTTTGAACCCTTCCTCTCCTATTCTGGTGACCTCTTCCTTTGGGTAGTTTGGTGGAAAACTAGGCCCTGAGCAACCAAGGTAAATTAGTTCATGTGACCTGGGCTTGGCCACTAGGTGCAGCCTCCAAGGGCTTTGACTCTTGGTCAAAAGATGCAAAGATCAGGGCACCTGGGTGGCATGGTCAGTTGAGCATCCAGCTCTTGGTTTTGGCACAAGTCATGATCTCATGGTCGTGATTGCATAGTCATGGGATTGAGCCCAGAATCGAGCCCCACATCAACCTCCGAGATCATCATGGAGTGTGCTTGGGATTCTCTTTCCCTCTCCCTCTGCTGCTCCTGCTCATTCATTCATTCATTCTCTCTCTCTCTCTCTCTCTCCCCGTCTCTCTCTGAAATGGATAAATAAATCCTAAAAAAAAAAAATGCAAAGATGAAAGGATGGTCAGAATTCATTCATAACACATATATCCTGGCTTTATGATTCCTGCTGAAAAACAGTTATACTTCCTATTTCCGGTCTTCAAAGAGTGTCTTGCTTCCTGCTCATTTTCCAAAGTTGTCCCTTCTGTCTCCTACAGGTTCTGTGAGCCCCTTATATCCTAATAAATTTCACTTTTCCTTAAGATAGCCTATTTCTGTAACTATTCTATAACTCTTAGCCAAAAGGTTTCTAAGGGATATCACACACATAGACATGTGCTCACTCAAGCTTACTCATTCCTTCACCAAACATCTATTAAAGTCTTTCTTTGTGCCAAGCTCTAATTTAAAAGTGAGGATACAAAGATGAAAGAAATCTTATGACAACTAGCAACAGCTGGAGGAGGAGCAAATTTGGGCAGGAAGGTGATGGTTAGGACATGTTGAGATTGAAATGTCCATGAGACATTCAGCCAGAAGTATTTAGTAGACATGTAGGTACCCTTTTTTGGAGCTCAGCAGAGATACCTAGGTTGTAGATAAATATTTTTGAGTCATTGGCTTAGGGGTAATTGTTCAAATGAAGAGGGCGAAAGAAAGAAAGGGAGGAGGGAAGGACGGAAGGAAGGAAGGAAAGAAGGAGGGAGGGAAGGAAGGAAGGAAGGAAGGAAGGAAGGAAGGAAGGAAGGAAATAAATAGGGGTGCCTGGGTGGCTCAGTAGGTTTGAGATTCTCTCCCCTCTCCCTCTGCCCCACCCTCGTGCTCTATCTATCTATCCATCTATCTCTAAAATAAATAAATAAACCCTTTTTAAAAAAGAAAGAGGAAAGGGCCCATGATAGAATTTAAATACCAACATTTATTGATGAACCAAATACTATCTTAAAAAAAGAGGAAAACAACAGGAGAAAGATACCATGGAAATCACAGGAGGGACTTTCAAAAAGGAGGTCATCAAACTTCTCAAAGAGAAAAGGAAATAAAAATATACTTGAGGGACTCCTGGGTGGCTCAGTTGGTTAATCAGCTTCCTTCGGCTCAGATCATGATCGCAGCATCCTGGGATCAAGTCCCACATCGGGCTCCTTGCTTGGCAGGGAGACTGCTTCTCCCTCTGCCTCTGCCTGCCACTCTGTCTGCCCGTGCTCGCTCTCTCTCTCTCTCTCTCTCTGACAAATTGAAAAAAAAAAATCTAAAATTAAAAAATATATATATACTTGAAGACCTCAGGAAAATCTACCACAGGTGATCTGAGGAATAAATAGGAGAGAAAGTGGAGGTAGCAAATGCTAGAGGATCTTTGCAAGAAACTTGCCTTAAAGTGGGGGAGGAGAGGAAGCCACAGCGATAGAGGTGGTGGGGAGATGAGGATGAAAGAGTGACTTCTGGGGTGCCTGGGTGGCTCAGTGGGTTAAGCCTCTGCCTTTGGTTCAGGTCATGATCTCAGAGTCCTGGGAACCAGCCCTCCATCAGGCTTTCTCTCATCAAGGAGCCTGCTTCCCCCTCACTCTGCCTGCCTCTCTGCCTACTTGTGATCTCTCTCTGTCAAATAAATAAATAAAATCTTAAAAAAAAAAAAAAAAAGAGTGACTTCTGAGACCAAACAGACTGGAGAATGTTTCTATGCTGAAAGCAAGAGGACAGAAGGAGGCTGATGAAATAGAAATGGATGAAAATTCTCACTGAAGTTGTTGGGGGAAGGAGAGAGAAGCAGGGTTCATCAAGAGGAATTGTGTTTGGAGGGAGAAGGAATACACTTGAGAAGGCAGCTGGGTCGGAAGGACTCCCGCTTATCAGTTTGTGGGTGTTGCTAGAGACTGTTTAGTGCCTCTAAACTGTGTTTTAATTATGTTTTCTAGCAAATTCTTAGTTTTGGTGATGAATTGTTGTTATAGTAAAGAGGTATGTATGGTGCAAGGACTCTAGACTCAGATTGCTTGTGATCGAAATCCCACCTCTCCCTCTACCCGCTGAAGAGCCCTTTGATCTTGGTCAATTCACTTAACCTCTCTGTGCTTTGTTTTTTGTATCTGTGCCAGGGGCTTGTTAGCGGGGGCCCGTGGGGGGGGTGGTTCTGTAAGTATTAACTGTTATTATTATGTTCCATTAGATAGTCAACCCACTAGATAGTTCCGTGAGGTTGAAGTTTTCTGTTTTGCTCAGGCCTCCCTACTCAGCCGGGTACTTAGCAGGTGCTTGAGAAAAATTTCATGACCAACTGGGGTGAAAGAGAGAGGCTTGGAAGGAAGGAAAGCCTTGGGAGTGTGACACTTTCAGTTCAGGGCTCTCAGCCTGAGAGATTCCTGAGTAAGGCTCTGCGCTTCCCCGGGCTTGGGGCGTTGGCCTACAACGCGACTCCAAGAGCCTGGGTAGTACTGGCAAGAAAGGAGGCGCTGAGACCCTTGGGTGCTCGGGAGGCTCCTCCCCCGCGAGGCTACCGTGGCTCCGCCCCTGGCGGGCGGGGTCGCGCGGGCGGGGCGTGAACCGGGTGAGACCGAGCCGACTACCCGGGCCTGGCGTCCGCCCACCTCATCGACGGGGGACGGAAGTCTCGGCCCGGCTCTGTCTGCAGCCGGGAACCCACGACCGAGCGCCGAGCCTCGCCCTATAGGGCGGCCAGGCCCGGTCGTGCACCCTCGCGGGCGAACTATGAAGCGTATGGGGACTCTGCGGCTGCTTTCTGACCTCAGCCACTTCAGCGGCGCGGGCCGGCTCCGGGAGTTGCTGGCCGGGGACCCAGCCGTAAGAGTCCGCTGCAGCCCGGACGGCCGCCACCTGCTGCTCCTGCGACCCCCGGGGGCGCCGAGCCCGCAGCTGCTGGTCGCGGTGCGTGGCCCTGGCGCGGAGCTGGAGCGTGCCTGGCCGGCCGGCCACCCCTCACCGCTAGATGCCTTCTTCCTGCCGTGGCCGGCGCGACCGGCGCTTGTCCTGGTGTGGGAAAGTGGCCTAACCGAGGTGTGGGGCACGGGAGTGGGGCCTGGCTGGCGGCTGCTGCGGAGCACCGAACTGTGTCCGGGCGGTGGAGCCCGCGTGGTGGCCGTGGCGGCGTCCCGAGGCCGCCTGGTGTGGTGCGAGGAGCGGCAGGATGGCGCTGAGGGCTGGCAAGGGTCGCCTGCTGCTTTCAGCCACTGCGTGTGCTTCCGAACCCTGGAGCCCAGCGGGGAGGCCGGCACCAACCAGGGACGCACACACACCCTGCTGCACCACTGCCCCTCTCTCGGACTACTGGCCTCCCGCAAGGACCTCTTCCTGGTGCCCACTGCCACTACCTGGCCTGGCGTGAGTCACATTCTGCTCATCTGGAGCCCAGGCAAGGGCAAGGTAATGGTGGCTGCCCCATGTCTTGGCCTCTCCCACAGTCAGAGCCTGAATCCCGGACGAGGGGACACATGGGACTTCCGGACACTGCTCCGAGGCCTTCCTGGGCTTCTGTCCCCCATGAAGCCATTGACTGTACATACCTGGGCCCCAACTCCCCAGGGACTGTTATTGCTTGACTTCAGGGGCACTGTGAGCCTGGTGCAATCCCATGGTGGTATGCGGGCTGTGGGCACACTGCAGGAGGCACCTGCAGGCCTGGCAGGGTCTGCAGCACTGGGAACATTTCATGGGACTCTGGCTTGTGTGCTGGGCTCCACATTGGAACTGCTGGACATGGGCAGCGGGCAGCTGCTGGAGAGAAAGGTCCTAAGTACAGACCGAGTACATTTACTGGCACCCCCAGCCCCTGGCATGGAGGATGAGGAAGAGCTGGAGACCCGAGGGGGTCTTCGTTTGCTTTCAGCCTTGGGTCTGTTTCGAGTAGGCTGGGAAGCCCCACAGGGCCTTGAAGTGCCTTCAGCTGAGGACCTGGTGTTCGAGGAGGCCTGCGAGTACTACCAGCGACGGAGCCTGCGGGGTACCCAGCTCACCCCAGAGGAACTGAGACACAACAGCACATTCCGGGCACCTCAGGCTCTGGCCTCCATTCTCCAGGGACATGTGTCCCCGTCTACACTGTTAACCACACTGAGGGCTGAGCTTCGAGATTACCGGGCCTTAGATCAGCTCAAAGCCCACCTGGTGGCTGGGGATGATGAGGAAGCTGGCTGGATTGAGCTGGCAGAGCACGAAGTGGCACGCCTGCTGAGGACCGAACTGGTGGGAGACCAGCTGGCCCAGCTCAACACAGTTTTCCAAGCCCTTCCTACAGCAGCCTGGGGTGCCATCCTCAGGGCCCTGCAGCTCCAGCCAGATGGGAATGGCAGGCTGAGGTCCCATGCTCCCCCTGATGTGTGGAAGAAGGTACTAGGAGGTACTTCAACTGCAAAGGAACCCCCCAATGGGATACTGCCCGTCTTTGAACTTCTGTGCCAGTGCCTCTGTCGGCTGGAGCCGCGATGGCTGCCACCATTTGTGGAACTGGCACAGCAGCAGGGTGGGCCAGGCTGGGGGGCGGGGGGCCCGGGGCTGCCCCTGTATCGTCGAGCCCTGGCAGTCCTAGGTGAAGAGGGGACCAGATCTGAGGCGCTGGAGCTGGAGCTGCTCTTGGGCAGTGGGCGGCCCAAAGCTGTGCTCCAAGCTGTGGGGCAGCTTGTCCAAAAGGAGCAATGGGAGCGGGCTCTAGAAGCAGGCCTGGCCCTAGGCCCCTCCAGTCCCCTGCTTCGAAGTGAGATCTTCAAACTGCTGTTGGCCGAATTTGCCCGGCACCGTCGACTTGATGCTCACCTCCCTCTCCTTTGCCGCCTGTGCCCACCGGACCTGGCTCCAGCTGAGCTCCTGCTTCTACTACGGACACACCTCCCAGATGAGTCGGAACCCCCTACCCCATTTCCTGAGCCTGGAACAGAGCCTCCTCTCACCGTGGGCTTGCTCAGAACCCTACTGGAGCAGACTGGGGCTCAAGGACGGCCCTCGGGCCCAGTTCTAAGCCTGTATGAGGACATCCTATGGGACCCAGGCACTCCACCCCCCACCCCACCTCGGGGACCTATGACTACCCTCCAGGCATCAGACCACCCAGACTTGGAGGCCTGGGCATCATCTGGACAGGGCCTCTGTGTGACTGACACAGGCTAAAATTCATTTCTAGGACACAGCAATCAGGGAAGGTGCCTAGGAGCTGGCCCAGAGCCAGGGTGGGTCCTACGCGTGCAATACTTTTCTCTCTTCTAGAGCAATCTTAAAATATATATATATATATGATAAATATATGATTTAATATATATATTTGGTCTTTGACCTCAGGTTATTGTGCTAGTGCAGAGCTCCTAAAACCCTTGGAATTTCCTGAGTGATAGGAGTGCCTTTTGTTATTCATAAGGAGCTTCTTTAGGTCACTTCAGCACTTAAGCTAATGAGGTAACTTAAGGTGGGGACACGTCACCTGAAAGACCAAGGGAGGAGAGAGTTGGAACTTTCAGCCCTTTCCCCAGCATCCTGGGAGGCTAGTGGGGCTAGAGATTGAACTGTATAGAAACTCCTGAATGAGGAAATTCTGTGAGAGCACATGGAGGCGCTGAGAGGATAAAACCCCCCAGAGAAGACATGGGAGCTGTACACACGCCCCTCCCCCCAAGCTGGCCTTGCCTTATGGATCACTTCCATCATGCTATTCCTGAGTTGTAGCCTTTGTAATAAACTTGTAAATGTCATTAAAGTATTTCCCCAAATTCTGTGGGCCATTCTAGCAAATCATCAAACCAGGTTGTAGCATGGGAATGCCCAGTTTCTAGCCAGTGGGTCAGAAGTACAGTGACTTGCAACTGGCATTGGAAGTGGGGTCAGTCTTGTGGGACAGAGACCTTAACCTTTGGGTCCTGCTCTAACCCCAGGTAGCTCGTGTAAGAATTGAATTGACATGTGAGACACCCAACCAAGTACTAACCAGGCCCGACCCTGCTCAGGGTAGCTCAGTTGGTTGAGGGACTGCCTTCAGCTCAGGTCATATAACAATCCTGGAGTCCTGGAATCGAGTCCCACATTCCTGCTCCCTGCTCAGCAAGGGGTCTGCTGCTCCCTCTGACCTTCCCCCATCTCATGCTTGCTCTCATTCTCTCTCTCAAATAAATAAGTAAAATCTTGAAAAAAAAAAAAAAAAGGACACCCAGTTGGTATCTTTAGAGAATTAGTTGTCAGTGTTGGAAAGCACTCCAGAAATACACATACAAGCTGTGTGTTTTTGAACAGCTGAGGGTCTCAGGGTTGTGGGTAATGGAGGGAGTAGCTGAATCTGAATTTGTTGGCTGAAGTGACCACTTCTATTAATAAAATAATTAACATTTATGAGTATTTAATATATGCCAGACACTCTGCTGGTCTTTAAAAATTCCCACATTTAATGCTTCTGATAACCCCAGAGGAAAAGTACTAATAGTATCCACATTTTTACAAGTGAGGAAATAAAGGGTTAGAAAGATCACTTGACCAAGGTCAGGCAGCTAGAAAGTAGCAACTCAAAGATTTGAGCCACTTCACTATACAGCCTAGTAGCTGCTACCTGTTTGGGCTTGAATGCACTCCTCTTTCCTGGTTTAATGCTAGCTGTGTCACGTGTTGTGAGGATGGGGATCTGCAGAGCTGCACGCATTCTTCCCCCAAGACTTCTGAAACCGGGTAGGAATTGTGGTGGGCTCTGGGCCCATGCCTGTCCGCCCTGGGATTCCTGGAGCAGCTCCGGTTGAGGGGAGGAGCTGCCACAGACAGGAGAGCTACATGCAGACCCCTTTGGTTTAGGAATGAGAGGCACTGAAGCAGGGTTGCTGGGAGGGCCCACATTGCTGCTGACTCCCTAAGAAATAAAAGTATCTCTAACACTGATGTCCATTACCTGGATTTAGTTGCAGGATTACCTCTAAAGAGGGCTTCCCTGCCCACATCTGTTCAGGTGACCTCATAGCCTGGTTCTGGGCTTAGGGTAGGGCCCTGGGTGCTGCTAATCACCATCATCCTGGGCCCCCAGCCATTCCTTGTCCAAGGCTTGGGACCAACGTAAGGACCACCATTCAGCTTTGTCCTCAGCCGGGACCTACAGCTTAGATTTTGCTCAGCCTCGTCCTGGGCTTGAAGTGGCTCTTAGGCTCCTATGGGACTAAGGACAGGTCCCCAGTCTCTCTGGGAAAGGGGGGCAGCCCCTCAAGCTTGTCCAGGGCTGGTGTTACTCCTCAGTCTCATGGAGGTCCTGAGGTGGCTCGTCTGCATGGCCAAGTTCCGAGATGGCTCCTCAGCCTTACTACAGCCTAAGGATGGTACCTTGGCCTCATCTAAGAACTTGGATGGCCTCCGTCCTCACCTTCAAGCCAGGTTGTTACCAACACCAGGAGTCAAGCTACTGGCCCTTAAGCTACTGCTCCTGGCAGAGGCCCAGAACTAGGGAGGGCCTAGTCATCCCTCAGCCTCCACCTCGGCCCCTTCCTGGTTTGGGAGGGGCTCTTCCTCCTCTTCTAGGTTTTGAGATTGGACCCATTTGGCTTCTCAGAGAGAAACTGGAAATGGACAAAAGCAGGGATCCTCTTCCTGTTCATAATCCTGCTGAATGGTGGTTGTTTCTTCTCAGCCTAAGATTTGGCTTGGGTCTCTGTCTGAGCTCAGAAGAAAAGGAATTGTACTCAGTGGGCTCCTGAGAGCATGAACAGAAGAAGCGGACCAGGCTTTTTTTGGGGAGTTGTATGGCTCAAGGAAGTTCCTTAGGGTGCCCACTAGTAGGGCCTCCAGGTGGGGAACCACCCAGCACGGCATCTCTTAGGGGAGCAAGGGGGCATAGATGGAAACTTGCTCCTGCTCTTACAGACTGGCCACTTATTTGCTGTTGTCCTTGCTTATGCCCCACCTCCAATATAGGAGGTACAAGTGATCCTGAACCATGTGTCAGGACTTTGGAGAACAGCTTAGGGATGCAGATATTATTGTGTGACTGGGTAGAGTATGTGAGGTCATCAGAGAGATGACTCAGATGTGATCTTCTTGAGTCAAAGGACTCTGAGTAGGTGAGTGGAGATCCCAAGTCTGAGGTCATTGGTTGGTAGGGAGTGTTCTAGGGCCAGAGGTAGAGAGGGTCCCTGGACAGGACGTTGGGACCTGGGGAAACGGGTGATCTAAGAGATGAGGTCTTTGATCTTGGGTGTCTGGGTAAACAGGGGAGATCTAGGGCTGAAGGTTTTGAGCAGTGGACAAGGTCCCAGGTCCATGGCCCCTGGACGAGGGAAGTAGGAGGGCCTGAGGTCCCTGGGTGAGGGAGAGGGCCCTAGGCCAGTGGGTAGGAGAATTTCCACAGGGAGGTGTCACCTTTGGAGCTCTCTGATGTCCCTGGATAAGTGAGGGACAGGACCTTAGGCCACTGGGTAGGAGCATTTCCACAGGGAGGTGTCACCTTTGGAACTCTCTGATAATTCACTTGGCAGAAGCCTCTAGAAAGCTTGAAGGTGAAGCTAAAGGTAGCCAGGACCAGAATGCAGTCTGGGCAAAGGAAAGAAAGTAAAGCCAAAGGCTCCTCTACCTGCCTATATAGCCCTGGAGTCCAATCCTCCCTTTTTCATCTCCCTACTGCATACCAATATTCCCAGTTCTAGCCTCCTACTTCCCCGCCCTCACCAGGAAATCCCTTTTTGACCGAAGACCACAAGTTCTACATCACCCAATGGTGGACCACAGGACTACAGCCACCAGAGTCTTCCAGCCTGCGGAAGCCAGAGACCAGAGCCCCACCCCTCCCTCTCCATGTGACCTGTAAGAAATTAGACCTGGTGGCTAGGGTGAGCCAGTGCCCAAACTACTCCAGCTTTCCTCCCATACACTGGCTTAGCCCTAGGCCTGGCCCTGGCCACCTGTCTTGGAAACTCTTAACAGACTCCTAACAACTCCAAGTTGGTGTCCCTGTCTCCTCAAATCTAACCTTGCTTATCAAGAGTACTGTAACAAACAAATCGAATCAAACTCCGTCAATATTCATGGTAAAAGCCAAACACATCTCTTTCCTCACAAATGGCCCTGCTTCTCTTTCCAGTCTTCTCTCCACTCACTTCTTCCTCCCACCCTCTGAAGAATATATGATAACTTGGAACTACTTGTGTTTCCCTGAACTTGCTAGATTTCTCCCTCACTCTGTACCTCATGCTTAGCAAGTTTTTCACTCTCCTCTCTGCAGGCCTAAACCCTTTAGCATACACTCCAAATGTCATCCCCCTCTACTAAGACTTCCCTACTCACCCCCAAGAGATGTAATGGCACCTTCTCCTGTTCTCCCACAGTTCTTGGTACATACTTCTAAAAAAGCATTTGTCAAGCTGACTTGTGATTGCCTAGTTATTTGTCTCCGTGATTCGCAGACAGGTTCCTGGAGGGCAGAGGCCATAGTTATTTGTGCTCTTGTATCCTCAGCATGTATCACTGTACTAGGGGCATAGTTGGTTTGATTATAGATGCAGGAACTGGCTGGCCCCTGTGGCCTAGGGTGCAAAGGGATTAGGTTCTAGCCTTTAGGAATTCTCTGACTTTCTTTCCTTCTTCCCATAGGCCAGACTCACTGTTTGGTTGATCCAGAACTGAAGTTGATGGGGATAGGTCAGCTGAATCTGAAGGAAGAACCAGACCACCTTGGACCATGGGTCACAGAGGTGGGGGGAGTCGCTGCACCAGGGCCACCTTGGGATTTGGGGTGAAGGTGTAAGGAATGGACGTAACTGTACTACACAGGGCCCCTGATCTCTAAACCAAGAGGGAAAGAGAGGTGGGAAAGCCTTGGGTAAGGCTTATGTGGAGGGATGGGTGGCAGCGACTAGTGGGGGCTGTGGGGTGAGGTAAAAAAACTGAGGATTAGGGCACCTGGGTGGCTCAGTGGGTTAAGCCTCTGCCTTCAGCTCGGGTCATAGTCTCAGGGTCCTGGGATCAAGCCCCGAGTCAGGCTCTCTGCTCAGTGGGGAGCCTGCTTCCCCCTCTCTCTCTCTGCCTGCCTCTCTGCCTAGTTGTGCTCTCTCTCTCTGTGTCAATGAATAAATAAAATCTTTAAATTTTTTTTTAATTTTTAAAAAATTTAAAAAAATTTTTTTAATGAGGATTAATTCCCATATTGAATATGGCTATCAGGGAACTTGTCCTTAGGAAGTATTGCGCATTGTTCAGATGCACCAGAATTTAGTTCACACTTTCTGTGCGTGGTCAGCGAAAGAAAGGGAGTCAGAGAGTGAGAAGGGGGCAGCTCTAGACCCCCAAGTTCCGTAGGGAGCCACCTC